ATGCACACAATCAAGTATAGACTAGTTTGCTCAATTTGGAACAATTTAACTCATGTTTGTTTGCGAAAATGGTTTGAATTTGCCACCTCAAGTGGGTTTAAAGATGCGGATTTGCCACCAAACATAGTGGGCTTAAAATATGATTTGCCACTCAACAGAGTGGGCTTAAAACGCACATTCATTGAATCGTTCCAATTCAAACAACAAGCCTTCATCCACAGGCATTCATAGAGTGAAGCAAGTAAGCACTTAGCCTCATGGCAAGCATGCTAGACATGGCAACATTCACATTCATGCAAGTATGCTAAAGCATAAAAACTCACTTAGTACTCCAAGGTAGGAAGATATGAGTTAGAAAAAAAAAACATGCATGATTCCTAATTATACAAGATGTCTAATACAACACATGCAATATGCAATTAATAGGCTCGACTACTAATATAGCACATGAATCGATTTAAATAACATGCGATTAAACACGTATTCAAATAAGATATTGAAATGACAATGTAGTTTGAATGATGAGCCGAGCCTCGGTGCATGCAATATGAATAAAATGATGAAAGCATGTGATATGCTAATTGAAATATGATGTCCCTAATCTAACCATCAAAAGCGATTAAATAAAAGGGAGAAAAACGTGGGGTTGGAAGACATACACACACATGCACACTTATTACATCATTACGCCCTCGCGAAGGAGGGTTCGAATAAATAAGCTAATTAGACTACTTATTACAAGCCAAATGAATAACTAGCTAAGCTAATTACTAATTATTACAACACTTTAACTAATTAGCAAACTAATTAATTAATTTACAATACAAACGTATACGAACTAAGCAATTAAGACGTTAAACTATGCTGCCACTGTTCCACCTCAGGAAGTGGAAGATGCATATGCTCAGTTCTCACTCGGGAAGACCACCGTTTTCCTATCAAAAGCCTATGTTTGCAGGGTTGAACATTTCCAGAACCTTTCTGCTTTACCTTACCAAATATTCTCTAAGGCTTGCATCAGTAGCATGTCGGCTATGGATGGCTACTGCCGGCCATCTGCCAACCAAAAAGATGTACTGCCGGCCAGAAATGATGCCCTGTTAGCTAGTAGTGGTGCATTGCCCGCCACTGATGCATTGGATCACCACGTTGCAACAAAGCACAAACAGAGCAAAAAAGGGGGTTTTTCCAAGGGTTTGTTTGTACTGTATCCTTCCTTATCATCTCAAAATCTCAAAGGAGTGACACATTTGGATCCAAAACCTCCAATCAAGCAAGTTCATTGCATGATGGCTAAAGATCCAAGCTGTACAATTTCGATAAATGCACAAATAAGACTCAAAAGTCCACCACCCTATCATGCATGATCAAGGGCAATGGAGACCAAGGAAAATGACACATTTTTATCACTTTTGAGTATGAAATGTTTGATTTTCCTTGGGTTCAAACTAACGTCCGGTTTGAACACATGCAATGCAACGCAAAGAGATGCTTATCCTGCATATTTTACTTGTCAATTTTGTTTACACATTTTAATTACCAAGTCATTCCTTAATCACTTAGTCCATTAGTGAGTGCCCTCTAAGGTGAAGGAGGCTCAAACCAAAGGTTGTTTTAGGCATGAAAGAGACCTCATGCTGTTGGTAATGAATCCCCAAAGGGATTAAACCATTAAGCACTTACATCTCAATTTCATGCTTTAAACAAGCAAATGGTTTAAACCACTTTCAAAACAAAAATAAAATCAAGAAAGGGAGGAGGTTGCAGATATGATTAGGTGCTAAAAATGAGCACTAAAAGCGCTAAAACATACAACCAACTCAAACCAATGATAGTTAAAGCCTTAAAACACTAAGCTAGTGAAGGAATTAACACTACAACCATGCCATGCAAGGCTCAAATGAAACAAATAACCCAAAATAGAGGGAAAACAACCTTAAATATAGTCTAAAACATGCTGGACTCGGGCCACAAAAAGCTAAAACAATAAGCTAATACATGAAGTTAACTAGGTATGCAAACAAGACACAAGGAGTGGAGGCTAACCCCTCCAATTTTGAACTTCAAAATGAGATTTTTGCCACTGAAAAACCTTTGAAATTCAGTGGTTAAAAGGCCTAAAAAAGTTAGTTTGAAAGTGATAAACAAAGGCATAAAAACCTTTATAAGCAAAGAAGCAAGATGGGTGAGCTACCCTTTAACCAAAAATGGCCTCAAACCCACACTCTTAAGTCATAAAAATAGAGCTTTTAAAGTTCAAAACCAGCCTCAAAACAGTTGAAAGAAGATAGAAAAACAAGTATTAAAAGCAAGCTAGCAAGACTAGTATTCTACCTCTTGAAGCAAATAACACTTTTAGGCACAAGTTCAAGCCAAAACCCCTTCAACAGCTCCAAGAAGGCCCCAAGTAACCTCAGCTCAAAGGTGAGAGGATTTGGTTTAGGAGATGTGGGCTAAAGTGTACAGAAACTAAGAAAACACACACAAATTTGCAAAAGAGAGAGAGAAATTTAGAGAGAGAAAATTTTTATGTCTCAAATTTTTCTAACCCCCACACATGAGAGAGAGGGGTCCTATATATAGGAAACACAAAATTTCCTCACAAACATCCAGGCATATACGTGTTGGAAGATGCATGAAACTATACAAACAGTTGGCACAAAATATCATAAAATATCTACAAGAAACACTGGTGGCTGGTAAGGCTTCATTGATGGCCGGCAGGGCACATCAATAGCTGGCAAAGGAGAAGTGGTGGCCGGCAACCTCCAAGGATGGCCGGCAGGCCATTTGAAACTTCATGCTGAAAAGACCTAGGCATGGTCTAAAGATGAGACAAAATGGATGCAGGGTTTGGAATACTCAAACCTGTGGCATTCCGCCGATAACTTCGAGCGTTGGGCGAGCAATCAAACTCGTCAACGGATGTACCTACAAGAACATCCAAGTCTTAAAGGGCCGTTAAAAATGGGGTGTCTATAGAGAGAGAGAGAGAGAGAGAGAGAGAGAGAGAGAGAAAGAAAGAGACTAACCTAGTAAGTAGAAGTAGCAGAGTGAAGATGAAGAGGCAGCAAAACAAGAGATGAACTGAATGGAATGGAGATGGTGGCTAGGGTTTTGTTATTGGTTGGGAGTGTAGAGAGTGAGGAGATACAACTAAGCTACCAATCTGACTATGAGGAGTTCAAAGAAGAGAGCAACGATAAAAAGGAAGATCAATTTTTAGGAATTCATTGTTTAAGCCATTGACATTCAAAACTACGTAGTTTTGATACAAAATATGATATTATTTTTTTTTGTGACCAAAATTTATTGGTGAGAAAAAGTTTTGATATCTTGCTTTTTTTTTCCCTCTCCTGCCAATACTTTCTGCGACCAAATTTTTTTGGGGGTTGCAAAAAAGCAGCCATTAGCAACCAAAAAAATTGTTGGTTGCAAAAAATCATCTATTAGCCACCAAAAAAATTTTTGGTTGCTAAAACACAACCCATTAGCGACCAACAAAATGTTAGTCGCAGAAAGTGACATCTGCAACCAACTCAAAAAAGGTGGTCGCGAAAAGTATTTTTTCTTGTAGTGGTATTTTATCATTTGATGTGTTAATTCAGTTTTGATCAAAAGAATAAATTTTATAGTTGATATGGTTGTGTTGATTAATATAGAATTTTATTTTGTTGTTGATAATTTAAAAAGATTTACCATTGTGAGAAAAAAGAAATTAAAATTGCAAAACTCATTTCTTGATACATCTCGTTTATATTTGAGGATAGTACTACATGGTTTGGGTGTTTGTGTAAGGAAGTAGGAAGTAGCTTTTTGAGTTGGCCTTTGTATTCAGAAAAGCTGTGTATGAAGAACTCGTAGAATCCCTGTATTGATGCTTAATCTAATGTTTCTTTTGTTTTGATGATATGGTCTGATCAAATCCTGATTTGTTGATTTGATTATATTTGTGTTATTTGGAAATGTAGAAGCTGATTCGATTGATTGCATTGTTAAATTTATTTCGATTCGCTTGTTTTATTAGATTCAAAAATTCTAGCATCATATTTCCTGTTTTTAGTATATCTTATTTTTTAAGCTTTTAATTTTTTTTTCTTCTCTTTCTTCTTTATTTCTTTTGCACCATGGATAAGAGTTGGATGTAACTTCATAATAGAAGGTCACCTTAATACATTGATGGGGTGAGGGAATTTATCTTGTTTGCTTGTGATCATATGAAACGAGGGACATATAAGATTTGGTGTCCATCTTATAGATATAATTACCATATTCAAAAAATCATAGAGGAAGTTGACATTCATTTGTATACATATGAGGTGGTCACGAGTTACACTAGGTGGGTGTATCATGGGGAAGGTTTTGAGTTGAATGACAACGATGACTCACATAATGAAAATGACGAATATCTCAACAATGTGAAAGAGAAGTCAAATAGCCCTAATACTGAGGTGCGAGAAGTTATTCATGACATACGAGGTGGAACAACCACATTTGGTTATGTGGGAGAAGTATCTAGTAGTCGTAATCCTGACTTACCTAGTAGTTGTGGTAGAGAAATAAATAAATTTGCAAGATTAATGAGGGATGCGGAGCAAGATTTGTATCCAGATTGCCAACGATTCCCTAAACTATCATTCATGCTTAAGTTGCTACATCTAAAGATATTTAATAGATGGAGCAACAAATCACTCATGATGTTGCTGGAATTGTTGAAGGAGGCACTTCCCATTGGTGAAACGCTTCCATGCGCTTACAATGAGGCTAAAGAAATAATTCAAGATTTGGGCCTTGATTATCAAAAAATACATGTATGCAAGAACGATTGCGTACTTTTTTAGAAGGAGTACGAAAATAAAGATGAGTGTCCTACTTGCAAAGTGCCAATATACAAAGTTCATAAAGGTAAAGGTAAAGGTAAAGGTAAAAAGATCTCTCAGTGAACACATTGCTCAACTGATCATAAAAAAAAAAAAAAAAATAATATTTGAGTGGTCCCAGTCTGTTGTGTGGGCATGAAAAGTTGGGCCTAATCGTTATGCTTGTCTTGAGCTTAAGACAGACATGGATGCTGGAAGTTCAACCCCTTGCCTCCACTCGAGTGGATTTGGTTCCATTCTTGCTTCCGCTTGAGCGGATGTGGAAAGCTCACTTTTTTGCTGACTTTCTGCAACTTTCTATTTAATTCAGATTTCACTTGGGACTTGACCTGTGTTCCTCCAAAGGTTCAATTAGGTTTCAAAGAGTACCAAATTAAATCAATTCATCCACAAAGGCTTGTTCAATCCACAAGTACACAATAAAATATTAATTAGTCAAGTAACATAGGAAAATGGACTAAAAGCATTTCGGCACCTGTCAATGATCCTCCATTCTGAAATATCTTCATAGAATACTAGAGTTCTAAGTTAGAACCAGAGCATTTCTCACTGTTGCTTGTTTGAAATATGGAACATGCTTTTGTTGTGTCATGCTGACTTCCTTTCTGTACACATGTGTCTCGACATGTGTATTCTGTAATGGGGTTTGGAACAATTGTGATGCATGCAGCGGGTCCAATAAGCTGCATGATTTTCATGCTGTTTTGAATTTTCCGATGTAGTAGGTGCTGGCCCTCATTTCTTTTGCTTGGGGAGGGGTATTATCAACTCAATTTCTAAAGAAGCAAATTACTATTGACACCATTGAGCTGTCTAGTTGTCCTTCATTGCTAGCATCTTCAGATTTGAAAACACTGTACATGCTGATTCTATTATATATTACCTTAAGCAAATCTGGTATTGTAAATTTTTTTCTAGCTGGAATTGATTCAGTAATATTTATATTAGATTCAAGTTGCTGCATGAGGAATGCATTGAATTTAATAAGCTTGGACTTCGGGATAATGTTGCCCAGATATGTGTGTTGGAGGTACACCAGATCTTCAAATCCTTTCTTGAATGCTACATAGATCTGCCAGTATAAATATATTTAATTTATTGTTTTCATTATTGTTATTTCACCTTTATTTTTATTCGTTTTAACTATTATGCTTTTTGTTGAACAGTCGTTGAATAAGAACGATAATAAAGATATGCCATTGAGGTAAGTTCTCAAATTTTAATGAAGTCTCTTTTCCATTGTAGAGATTCTATGGTGTAATAATAAATTTTAAAATTTAATTTTAATTTGTAACCAATTTCTCAACTTTTATGTAGAATTATGTTCTCTTGATGAATGTTATACTTTTACTTAACTACCAAATGAATGCAATTGACACATAAGTTAACCGTATATGCAACAGAAGGCATTTTTTTATCAGTAATTTGCAGCAAAAGACAATGTTTTAAACCATTGATTCCCTATTCTATGATGTACAGGACTATACCATTGCAAAGTCATTTCATTTTCATATGTTGCCTTTTCTAACTTTTTCCTAATAATTCCATTTTCTGTATCGTCTTTTCTTGTAACACCACTCATCCATATCAACTTTCTCATCCATATCAACTTTCGCTGATCCAAAAAAAAAAAACTCTCATTTCAACTACACATTTTTTCAATATGTTTTTTTCCCCTTAATTGCCTAGTATTTAGTATCATACATCATAACAGGTCTTATAGTAGTCCTATAAAAATTTCCTTATAGGAATCCCACGAGTATGCAACACTCTTAATGTTTTCCATTTTATTCATTTCTCTCTATGGGTTGCATCCTTAACAATCTCTCCATCTTTATGAATAATTGACTAAAGATGTCAAAAATTTTATCCATTTCACCCAACGGGTTGCATCCTTCACAATCTTTCCATCTTTTTGAATAATTGACTCAAGATGTCAAAAATGGCTGCTTTAGAGGATTGCAATGGGACTAAGTCCAGATGGTTTTCCTGTGGTTTTCTTGCTAGATTCAAGGAACTTCATCAGAAAGGATATTGTGGATATATTCAATCATTCTCATGAAAGGCTCCTTTGAAAGAAGTTTGTTTCACTTTCATAGCATTGATTCTAAAGAAAAGAGGTATTATAGAATTGAAGGACTCCACACCTATTAGTTTGGTCGGTTGTGCTTTGTAAGTTTTTTTGTATAAGTGCTAGCATTACGATTGAAACAGGTTGTGGGTAAGGTTGTTTTTGAGACCTATAATGCTTTTGTGAGAGGGAGGCATATCCTTGATGCGATTTTTGTGGTCAATGAGGTGATGGATTTTATATTGAAATGTTATATTTATATAGTGCTTAAATTATTGCTTTTGCACTAATCATCTCATTGTGTTTGAGTGAACAAATAGGTTTGCTAGCATTTGAATTGACGGGATTAAGCTTACACATTCAATACTCTGTTATTCAGTATTTTGTGGAGGCTCAGAGCTTTTAAATGACATGCTTTTTTTTTATCATATGTTGTTTGTTTCCATTTTCTTTTTCTAGGTTTATTTTCTACTGAGTTTGAAATTCATATGTAAACAGGTATGTTTACAAGAGGCAGATGACGATCATGGTATGTACCTAGACCCCATGCACCTACACCCCATGCATCCACTAAATAAATTCAATTATCTACGCGGCACCCATTTACATCAGAATCGGTGCATGAAGTTACGTCACAAGTTTCACACTTGGATACTTCTAGAACACATTGTAACACTGATGCTTTGTAAATATTTTAAGTTTATGTTTTGTTTTGGTTGGTCTATTTATTTCAATCCATATATTAACATAATACTTTTTCATTGTTTCTAGTAGGCACATCCAAGGGTAAAAGATGACGTGGGAAGTCACAAAGCCTTAAATTGGCCAATCTAAAAAATCAAGGGGTGCGACTGCCTATTTGGATTTACAAGGTTAGTGGATGACCATATGGTGAAGCATCTGAAAAATTTACCAGTGAATTATGGATTGTCACTAGGCAATTTGTCCCACAAGTGCCATCGTGGACCGATATTAGTGAAGAGTATAAAGAAACATTGATTGCATACCTTCAAGTAAGTGGTACATTCTGCTGGAAGTTTCAATTTTTGTTTGTTATGGTTTAACAATGTATAATTTTGTAATCTTGGTCTCATTTTCTGTTAATATAACAATGCCTATTCAATATAACAGTGCATAACAGTGCATAATTTAGCAGTGCCTATTCAATATAATTGTAATGTCCCAAAATATATTTTTTTAAATAGTCAGTGCATAATTTAATTGAGCAATATTCGGATTTGAATGCTATGTAAAATTCTTTGTAAAAATAGTTTTGTTTTGTTTTTTTTTTTAAAATAGTTCCCATTCTCAGAAAATTTTGAAATTTTTGTATGTTGTTCCCATGTAAGTCAAGCACTTTGGATAAAAATTTCAAAATTAATTGATAAGTATTTATTTTATGAAAAGTCGCGGACTGATTGGTGTTCAGTTTAATTTATAGCAGAAATTGAAAATGAGTTTTGTGTGTTTGGACCATGACTTAAGATTAGTTTGTTGGGTCTACATTGATATGTAATTGGGTGATGTTTAGTAGGGGTGGGGGCGGGTCGGTTGCAGCCACGAAACCTCTAATCCGCCATCCGTCCGCCAGATTGGCGGGGTAGAGAAAATCAATCCGCATCCGTCCGCCAATCCGGCGGATGTGGATTGAGCGGATTGACGGTTTGGCGGATAGATGCGAATCGGTTTGGCGGTTTGAAATTTTATAAATTTTCAACATAATTCAACTTGCGCACTTCCTACAAAAAAAGAAAAAAGAAAAAAAAGAAAGTATTACAGTTAATGACTTAAAAAAGTATTACAATTACTGCATGTCTCATCCAAAGAAAGAAAGTTTGAAACTTTAGAATATTACAATCACTGCATGCCTCATCCACATAAAATATTACAATCTGTGATTCTTAAAATATAAAAACAATGCAAACCACCAAAACCACGAACAAAGCAATAGTAGAGATTGTATGTCTCTGTATTGTTACATTTATATATGTTTTTGAAAACAAAAATCAACCAACATATATTATATTTTTTATTTATTACTTTTAGAGTTAGATTTAAAAACCAAAAAATATAAATAAGTAATATGTTTATTTTTTTCAATTCAAAAAATATATTCAAGTTAAAAACTTTTTTTCAACAGAATATTTGAACTCTTTTCAATTGAAAACACAAACAAAATATTCAAACAAATTGAAAACACGAAGTCTTATAAATTACTAAGGGTACTCGCGGTTTGGCGGTTCAAATCCGCCATCCGTCTGCCAAATTGGCGGATTGGAGAAAATCAATCCGCAACTGTCCGCTTGACATCACACATCCGTCCAAAATGCGGCGGATCGGTTCGGTCGGTTTTGGCGGATCGGTATAGCCGCTGCTCACCCCTAATGTTTAGCTTATGGGTGAGAATTTAATTCAAGACCCATGACTTAGATTCAATTTAATTTGAGTTTGTTTAATGACTCATGTTTAACTGTTTGGTTAGTTTTAATTGTGTGATTGGTAGTAACCACCTTGTGAGTTGTTATTATTTATTATATAAGATTATAATAAATATTTGATAGTTGATTTTATGGTGTGGACCATATGGTGAAAAATTATATATTTTTATAGTGAATAAATGGGTGTATATTTCATAGTGAGCAAAATATTATATTTTGTGGTGTGAAAAAAAGTTATATTTTGTGGCGAGAAAAAATTATATCATTTTATAATTTATATTATAAAATTTTGAGGTATTATTACAAAAATTATATATATTTCTTTTGGAAAAATCAATTTTGGAGAAGTGAACCCACGTGGGGTTGTTCCCCACGCCTTCTCCGTTTCTCTTCTTTCCTTCTTCCATTTCTTTTCTTTGCTTTTGAGCAGAGGGCTCTGCCCCCCTCTCTCTCTCTCTCTCCTCTGTGGTTGCTCAAGCTTTGAGCTTCAAATGGACGTTCTGAGAGTGATATTTTGCAAAAACTTTGTACATAAAAGTTGGAGAGCTCGTCGTGATCTTCGCAATGGTGGTCTCGAATTCATGATCGGGCGAAGTTTGCCTTTCGAATTTGCTCCTCTTCATTATTGGAGGTAGGGGCTTTCTTCATATTATTACTTTAAAGTTATGTTAGGGTTATTTTGAGAAAATACATCATTGTAGGAGGTATTGCATATATATATTTCTCATATTCTTGTTTGGTTAATTTTTGGAAAAAAAATTATGTTGAAGTGTTAAGGACATTGATATTTTGAAATTGATTTGGAAAAAAAAATCATTTTGTGTTGGTAATATTTGTTAAAAAAATCTGAAAATGTAATTAATAGTTGTATGAGTTGTATCTACCTTATATTATGGTTAGATAATTTATTTTGAGAAAATATTTTTGAAATATTTATCTCATCATTGAGTTTTGAAATTTCTTTTTGACCAAAAAAAAATGATGTTGATGAATATTGTGTAAATTGTTAAGTTGAGATTGTAGAGTTGTTTTAGGATTAAAAACTCTAAAAGTGTTATATTCATGATATTTTATAAAAGGTGATGTGTTGATAATTTAGTTTTTGTTCATTTTTGCAAAAATGAAAATATGAAATGAGGACTTTTGAACTCTTAATCTTAAAAGTATACTCTGGGGCATATTTCACAATTTTTTATACAAATATCATATTGATTAGTTAACTTTAGAAAGGTCATGAAAATTGTTATTTGAAGAGAATTTGGGAAAGATTGGCTATTTAAGTAGCTTGGCATGAGATATGATTATGTTTGAAAGATAAGTTGGGTTAAGTTATGTTCGGTATTAGTGGATTAAATTAGTTTGGTTAAAATTTTATATCCTTATGATTAAAAGTGTGTTATTGAGATTATACCATAACTTTTAATGTGGTAGGATGGAAATGTTAATATTTCATAAGTATGAGATTTGGAGAAAATAAGTGAGATGAAGTTGTTTGGTGTGAAACAAAGTTGAACTAAGATTATTAGTTAAGTTGAGGCGATTTAGTATTGGGTTCCTAGTTTTACTAGTTGAGTAATTTTATAATAATAATTTCGTACTTCAAAATTCTTATGAGATATTTGAATTGTTTGGCGGTTTTGACAAGAAAAGAAAAGAATGTGATTTTAGCTCGTTTGGAGCAAATGAATGAATTGGATTAAAACAAGAATGAGTTATCAAAATTTTTATTTATTTATTATTTTCCTTGGTTTAATTCGATGGGTTGATGTTGATAATTGAAAAGTAAACACTCGTGTTATATTTTATAAGTATAGTCAAGAGATGATTTTGATATAATTGATTAAGTGTTGGAATATTCACTTCTGCTTATTGAGAATTATGATTGAACTTGAAGATCCCGAGATTTCACTTGCATGAGAAAAATGGGAATTTGATTCTATTTAATGTTTGGGATGAGGATGAGTTTTGGAAAGATTGTAATTACATTTCATTGATAAAGTATGTGAGTTAGAAATTGATGAAACCTTGAACCCGCTTTGGTGTTATATGTTATTGCTATTGATGAACTTATTGTTTAAAAGTTTTGGTTTTGGTAACTAGTAGAGGATTACTATGTCGGTATTTGAATGAGGAGATTCTTGAAAAGGTAAGAAAATGTTTGATTTTGGAAGTTTGTTTTATATAAAGAATATTGTTGAATTGTCTTGAAAAGACTAAGTTAGAGGTTATTGATTCACATGTGGTAAATACATGAACATTGACATTATTATATTATCTCTTGGGATTGTATCATGATATTACATTGATAGAGATATGGAATTTGATCACAATGGAGCATTGTGTGGTGGGATTGAAATTAGAACTATTCAAATGCATTGTTACATATTGCATTGCCATTCCATTTCATTGTTATCATGGATTTCGAATTACAATTGAAAACTATTGTTTTGAAAATGGAATTGTTTTTGTGAGACAAGGTCATTTTGATTTGTTTTGGGTAAATACGTTGGTAAGTCCGGATGGGGGGTGTAGTTTGATATTGGTTAAGTTGGCCTAAGTGTCCATGGTAAAAGACCGAAAACACGCGTAGAGGAAGAATCACGTTCCTTCCGATGAGAGGCCGGTAAAGTGGGATTTGGTAGTGCTCGATATGCCTACTTGTAGACACCAGCCTAGGGATTACTTGAGTCGTATTTACCACCTTGAAATTATATTGAAATTTTTGGATTAATGTGTTTTCAAATTGGCATTGTGCACAAGATTTTCAAAAAATGAGAAAAATATTTTGAGCATGACATGACATATGCATTCATCTCATAAGTTGTATAAAATGTATTTGATGCTTTGT